TAAGGATACCCCATTTACCTTGAAATTAATTAACTAATACATTAGAAGAAGCCAAACAGCACAGCCTGCAAAGTCTGAGTTATTCTGGAAACTTCTTAGGCTATTTAGACAATAATGGGTGAAAATGCTCTGCTTCATTGAGAAAAGCATCAGAATCAACCTCACTTTGGAGTCTCATGCAAAGAAAGAGAGAACCTGAATTTGAAGTCCATTTGGAAAGGACAGAGTTTAGTCCACCTCTACAGATTCTCCATGAATGAGATGATGATGCAAACAAAACAAAAAAACAATCTTCCAGGAATGAAATAAAAGGTTTTTTCTGAACATGTCTTTCCAAAGAAAGTCCCAAAGGAAAGAACAAGTAAATTTGTGCCGCTTTAGTAGAAGGAGAAAGGGATGACAAGACTTGGGATAACTCCCTGCTGCTCATCAGGTGTTTGAACTAAACATTTGCAGAGGAAGTTTTGACTTTCCTTACTAAAAATATACTCCAGCTTGTACGTGAGGCTTATTCTGTAGTCTTCCATAATTTCTTTTCTGCACTATTTTCTGGGAATTTCATGAGCTAGAACCGACTTTGTGAAGTGGGACTTCAAGCAGGGTGTATGCTCACTTTCTTTGTTAGTGGAAATTGAAAATACATCACTTTTTTGCTCATCTAACTTAAATTGAAATATGGCTCTTCTATTCTAGAACAAAAATAGCCTCTCACAAGGATCAGTTACTAAGTATCATATCACTGAGGGCAGTGGAGTCCAACCAAGTGTCACTGTAGAAATGGTTTAGGTTTTGTTTGTTTTGCATGCAAGTAAGGTAAAAATACCTTTCAAAAAGCTTCCCATACACACCCACTGCCCCCTGATACTGAAACAAATTAATTCAGGAGTCCAGCTACCAGCATAAGGCACCCTAAATCACCAAACCAAATTTGCTATCACCCCCTGCCTTCATGCACTGCTAAACTGTACCAGCTTTGCTGTGCCACAAGCCTGCAACTCAAATTAATTTCTTCCAGTGCTTTCAGTGCCATCTTTTACCGTCCAGCTTGAAAGCACAATCTTCACTTTTCTGCCTCTGTTTACAAGATCTGAGGTATGTCTTCTGACCTAAAGAAGACAATTAAATTAATCTGCACGAGTTACCCTCAGGCCTCCTTGAGTGAGCGAGTTAGTGTCCAAGCCCCACACAGCTGTATTAATGCAAGCAGCACATGGAAGTCCTGGTGTGAGCAGAAGTGACGTGCTGCCCACAGGAGCTCAAAAGCAAAATGATTTCCACACCCGTTGGACTTTTTTTACTGTTTATAATATGCTTGAGTTTAAAAAGAAGCCCGTCCTCATTGTTCCTTAGGGTACCAACAACACTGAAGGAGAAAACCATGCTTAGAGAGAGGGCTTAGAGAGGAAAACACCCGGGCAAAACCAGAAGTCCCAGTGCTAGCCAGGAGGTGGCAGAGGAGCGAGGCCACCTTGCACTCTGGTTTCTGTGTGGCTTTGTCAAAAACACAAATACAAACCAAGGAAAGACAACAAAACCCAGCCCCACCCTCCATCTTCAAGGATAAGAGGATGAAACCCTTGATCACATTCCTTTTTTTTTGTATTTATACTAATTGCTCATCTTCCTGAGATCTGACTTTATGAAATTATGCATGCACACCAAGCAGATGAGTTTCCATAGAAACTCAGGAACTGAACTTTCATTAGAAAAATCTTTAAAAAAACATTATCTTACCGATAAAAATACAAATTGCCTGTCAGTGGGTGGCTTTCTGGATTTTTAGTTGGTTTTCTTTCTTTTGCACTGTAGGCAGATTCCAGCTGGACCTACCTAGCAACAATATGCAGGCATTGTTTATAGCAAGCCAGACTCCATGGGGAAATAAGAAATTCAGTAGCAAGGAGAGGCTCTCAAGTGCAAATACCTCAGGGAAACAAAAAGCTGAAGTGCTCAGTGCTGCGGCTTGGTGAGGCTTGGGGATTGTGCAGCCTCCAGCTCTCACAAAATGCGTGTGGTTTGCAAGGAGCAGGGTGGGGAGGAGTGGAGAGAGGAAACTCAAACAAGAAACTCCCCTGCACGCAGAATTTATGATGTTCAGCCTGTCCTTTAACCATCCAGCAGCGCATTTCTGCCGGGTCAGTTAAGCTTCACTGGAAAGGCTGACACCATCTGTCATGGCTCATTCTGAGTGAAGGAGCGGGTCCCAGTCCTGGGGTTTGTGAACTCTGGCAGGTTTGGCTTGGAGAGAGGTTGTGCGTGCCCTGACCTCTGCTTGGGCTAAGGCCTGAAGTGCAGTGTCTTTTGCCTACATCACACAGAAGCCCAGACACCTGGGCAAGAAGGGCTCATGGGGCTGGTTGTTCCTGGTCAGAACAAGCAGGAAGCAGGATGGTGGGCATGGCTGGGAACGGCTGTGGACCAGTGCAGCTTTTGGCTCTAACAGTCATGTGTGTGAGCAAGGAGGAATGGGGAGAATCTTTGCCTGCTTTAGCAAACGTTTCCTCCTGTGTTTCTCCCCAAAGCAAACAGCAGTTTTTCACTTGTGCAGTATACTGCAGCATCAAGAGGAGCCTTTGCCCTGGCTTTGGGGTGCCTGAGATCTCCCTTTCTGAGGGAGTTCATAGATGTTTTTTTAGCTAAACTTGGATGCTTGAATGCAATGAATACCAACAGCAAATGTTCAGGTGTGCTGCCCTTGCTGGCAGGCATCAGCTTCAGCATCTTCTGCAGGTGAGCACGGTACCTGGGCTTTGCATACACGCTCCTCCCTGTGCTGCTACGCAGCTGCGGGGTCCTCAGGCAGAGGCAAAAGAAATGCAGTGGCTCCACACTGGGGATCTGTAGGGGGAGAACCCATGCCAGCTGCTGGTCATTGACCAAGAAGGGTGCTGGGGCAGACGAGGGAACTGGGCTGCACAAGCGGTTTATGATGAGGTGGATTTCACTGCAGCATTGTTGAGAGGCGCGAGATGTCAGCCAGGGACGGAATTCCCCTCCTTGCTGGAGAGGGATGACAGGCAGCAGCTGCATGGGCTTGCTGGCCCCTGTGCCTCTGGGTCCAGCAGCCCTCCAGGAGCATCGAGAGGCTTGATGCCACTTAGTGTCAGGGTGAGGACAAGCCATGGGTCCCCAGCCACCAGAGAGCACAAGCGGCTCTGCTCCGTCAGCACAACAGGAAGAGATTTTTGGAAGAGTGGTTTTGTGGTTGAGGACAAACTTGCACTGAGATAGCTCCTGTCTATTCTTGGCTCAGCAGGAGATTTGCTATGGCCACACTACGTGCCCTTTCTGTACCTCATTATCCCTGTCAAGCGGGTGACTCAAATTATAATTGCAGACATTCCTTTCAGTCTGCCATTACATGCCTGCAGCCGTCTCCAGGCAGCTACCTCCAGAGGAACCAGCTTCTCCCATCAGGGTACCTCTGTGACACCTGTGCCTGCTCGCAAAAGGACAGTAAGATGAGGTCCCTTTGCCTCGCCACTTTCCAGCAGAGAGAAAAACCTGAAGGAAAACATCCCCACTGCATCTTTAGATGATCAAATTTGATACTGAGTTGTTTATTCAGACCAAGAATGGATAAGAAGGAGGCAGTGAAACTTCACAGTACTACCAGTACTTGATTAAATGGGTGTTTCTTAATTTTTCTCTCAAAGTAATGTGTTTCTATTAGTACTATCACTGACAAATGGCACTTTTGGAAAATCAAACAAGACAAAGGAAGAATGGTCACTACTTTCAAAAGCTTCACTGTTCTTTCATCAGAAATTTACTTGGGTTCTAGTTGCGAAAGATTTCAGGTTTCTTACGTCTTTTCATATCAACTAAGGGCAATTAGACACAATAAAGATGAAGCTAATGCTTGTATTTATATATATGTGCCCCCACATACTATGTAGTCCCAGGAAAAGCATGAAATCTGGCAGTCATCTCACTTCCAACATTTCCACAGTTGAGTGCAAGCAGAGGCCATGCAGAGCTTGTCGGGAGGCCTGAACCTGTTGACTGTTTCTTCCGCAGGCCACACCTGGATGAAACTGGTGGGATGTTCATTCTGGTGTGTGCAGCACCTTCAGGAGGAAGCAGAAAAATGCCACTAATGTGTTGTGGCCTGCAAAGCCCACGTGACCATCTGTGCTTAGTGTGGTTAACTGCTGTGTAATTAAAAGGGAGTCTGGCTCATTAGATGCTTTGTGGGTTCAGGCACATCCATGCGAGCCCTATAGGAAAACATGTTCTTCCTACTACTTCTTTTATCCTCCCTCTCCTGTTCCTTCCAGATGGTTACACCCACTTGTGTCTTTTCTTACCCTAAGGACAGCTTTTTAAACACAGTTCCTCCATCCTTCTCCCCCACACTGCTTTAGGATCTACATTAGACTGCAAATAGCAGGAGGACAGAGGGCCCCATGCCCATACAGCCTGTCTCTAGAAGTCTGGAGTTGGGCCACATCCCTCCAGCCCCATTTGTCATGTGGAAAAGTCTTTCTGTACGGTCAAGATGTAGGAGCTGAGACATTTTACCTCAGCCTCAGCTGGATGTTCTAGATGTGCAAGAGCTATTTAGATATTCAGTGTAATTGAACCTGTGTATATTTTCATATATGTATATTAGAAGTGTATCCTACTCAAGGAGAGAGGGATGCTTATAAGGGCCTGTAGCCTTTCTCTGCATAGTACCAGTGTGCCTGTAACATGCCTGTAACATACCTGTACCAGTCCCTGTAACATGCAACAGGAGCACTTGGCAAGTGTAATTAGTCTCTGCTTTAAGAAAGGTACTTTCACAAATACATTTTTTTAACTTACACATCGCAATCAAAAAAAGCAGAGCTTAACAGCTAATTAATAGTCTTCTTCAGAAATAGGAGGAGATCCCCTCCATAGGACTCCTGTGCCTGCACTTACACATCTGTCCAGCTTGCTGAGAGATTGGGATGCTCCATTTCTTCCTCCTGTTTTGTACCACTGTTAACTGCTTATCACTTGTTTGTTGACAGGGCCTGGTGCTGAGCAGACTTGGGCGGAGGGACCTGGCTCAGAAAGTCCTCAGAGATGCCATCCAGATCCAGACCACCAGTCACAAGGCCTGGAACAGCCTTGGAGAGGTCTTGCAAGCTCAGGGGAAAAATGAAGCAGCCATTGAATGCTTCCTCACCGCTCTGGACCTCGAATCCAGCAGTCCTGTCATCCCGTTCACTGTCATACCCAGGGAGCTCTGAAACTTTGCCCTGCAACTAAGGACCTTCATTCCACGGACAGACAGCAAAAGCAAAAAACAAACAAAGGAAAAGCCCAACAGATAAGTGCAATTGTAAGATGGAACTGGGCAAAAAAATTCCAGGATGGGCTCAGGTCTACACACTCAGCTGAGAGAAGTCTAACTGTAGAAGAATTTGCAACAGGCAGAAATAGAGAATGCCTTTCTCTTCACAGGTGCCTGGCTCACCTCCTCTTCAAGTTAATAGCAAGGCTTATTTCAAAGTGTTGGTTCAAGGTGACTGTCTGTAGAATAGATTATGCTAGGGTATGGCTGTTCTAAGCCCTTGCACCTCCCCATTTTCTTTAAAGATATAAACCCCAAGCCCTGAATTAAAGCCCAGACCTGCTCTAAACAGGAGTGGATGCACCAACAGACTTGACCAAGTTGTGCTTAAGTATGTGGCTGCCTCCACACAGATCTGACAGGATAGGAATGACAATTAAACCAGATAGACATGCAGTATATTCCATTTACAAAATTATTTCAGCTATTTGGATAATCCTTTTTCCTGCCTTGCTCTTATATACTGCATAGGCTCACTATATTTAGTGTGGCTTTTACCTAGACCAATTTAAATTAAAAATACTTTTTAAAAGGCTGCTGTTGCAGTATGATTCACAAAAGCAGACCAAAAAGACCAAAGACTAAATCAATTCATACTTGAACTAGTATTAAAAACATATATGTATCTCCAATTACATATTTCTTGAAAGGCCTTACATTAAGTAGGTGATTAGAAGCTCTGAACTTTGTTCTTATTAATCACCTATTGCATAACTTTTAGTGAGGAATATAGTGATTACCAATGTCTAGTGACTGAACTCTGTGCTTTACTGCATTACCATTCCTGGCAATAAACATTTTCATATCCATCTTTTCATTATAGGAAAGATGGCAGCAGTATTTTAGGGGAAAGTATGCTGAAGGCAGTATGTGTATATATTAATTACTTCTTTCTGAGAAACCAGATCTTTGGGTTGCCTGTAGAAATGTCACATTAGAGGTACGGAGTTGAGCCCTCAGCGGAGCAGGATCATTTTGCATATCATATCAGATGTGAGAGTGATCTCCAGAGCCATCTGAAGAGCCCCTAATCCATGCAGCCTTCCCTTGGCTGGCATGGCTGGGCAGGGGACACAGCTGGCATATCCTCTGCTAAGCTGCTCCTTAACTGTGCTTGACCTCGGCGGGGCCTGGGCAGCGCAGAAGAGCTGAGCTGCTGCCGCACGACACGAGAGCCAGCCTGTCCAGACCTGTCCCAAGATGGAGATGATGCTGAAATGAGCTGCAGGCACTCTTCTACACAAAAGGTTGAGGCTCTGTGCCCATTTCTGTCCAAAGAAGATTTGTGGGTTTGCACTAAAACACACTTTGTACTATAGTTCTGCCCAGTATTGTAATCCGCAGCTAGTTCATTCCAGAAATAATAATATCCTCAGGCAATAAATGAGTAGGGGTTATTTCTTAAAGAGCCTGAGGCTCTGGCAGCAGACTTGAAGTCAGCGTTGTTTACAGTTATTTGGAAATCTGCAGGCTAGTGGAGCAGTGGGCTCCTCGCCCTGCTCCCAAACCACCCCACGGCAGAGCTCCTGCCCAGCCTCCCCTCGAGGCGCCTGCACCAAGGGAAGTCCACAGCCCTTCTCCCACAGTCTTTTGCACACCCAGGCCAATATATATATATATATGTATATATATATGTGTGTGTGTGTATATATATATATGTATGTGTATATATATGGGAGTTTCTTTTATTATTTTTTTTCCTCATTAAATCTCACTGGTGCAATACCCAGCTTATTCCTCTGTTCACTGAGGGATCTGGAGTGAAAGCAGCTCAGCCATGAAAGGTGCTCAGCCCACAAGGTCTCTGCCTTTCCAGTGCTACACAGGCAGGGAACCAGGTTTTTTAGGCCAGAGGCAGGTTTCCAAGGAGACAGTGTTATCCAGCCGTGTTTCTTGTTTGCAATAGTACCCTCAGCAGAGGAAGGAGTAGGTGTTAAAGTAGCAGAATTAAATGAGTTTCATGAAGACAGAAAGACACGGCAGAGACCCATTTTGCTGTGAGGGATGCTATGAAGTCAGCTTGTTCTGCACCGCAGTCGGGAAAGGGGGAAAGGGAGGGGGGGAGATGTTGTTGACATAATATGTAAATTGTTACCCAGGTGTTTTAAACCCAGTTCCACAGTCAGATGCAATCTGACAATAGACCTAAGTAGAGATATAGATAGATAGATAGATAGATAGATAGATAGATAGATCAGAATTAAATGAGTTTCATGAAGACAGAAAGACACGGCAGAGACCCATTTTGCTGTGAGGGATGCTATGAAGTCAGCTTGTTCTGCACCGCAGTCGGGAAAGGGGGAAAGGGAGGGGGGGAGATGTTGTTGACATAATATGTAAATTGTTACCCAGGTGTTTTAAACCCAGTTCCACAGTCAGATGCAATCTGACAATAGACCTAAGTAGAGATATAGATAGATAGATAGATAGATAGATAGATAGATAGATAGATAGATAGATAGATAGATAGATAGATAGATAGATAGATAGATAGATAGATAGATAGATAGATAGATAGATAGATAGATAGATAGATAGATAGATAGATAGATAGATAGATAGATAGATAGATAGATAGATAGATAGATAGATAGAGATATAGATAGATAGATAGATAGATAGATAGATAGATAGATAGATAGATAGATAGATAGATAGATATTATATTGTGGTACTTGTTCTGCTCCACGGTTCCCAGGGTAGGAGTGGGCCTTCTGTGTAAGACAAACTGAAGAGCCGGTGTGGTCCAATATAACTGCTTTTGTGTGCAACATGTATCTGTAAAGTGCTGCTATAGCAACTTCTGTGTACCTGACAGCTGTTTGAGTACAAGTTATGCATCTGCCTTTGTGACAGAGGCCTGTAACATAGCTGGTCTGTGACCTGACAGGAAGGTGCCTGTTTCCCAGCAGCATCTGAGAAACAGGTAATCACAGACCCATTTACTTCCGCATGTGCAGCTTGTAAACAGCCACCAGCCCCTCACATTTTTGCCGTCAGGCGAACTTCATCTCAGCAATAACCAGACTTGCCACAGCAGACATCAGGAGAGGTGCAAATGTGCACAAGGGCTTTGAGTGTATCAACCAGTGAGATGTTGCCAGGGTGGTCCCATATTTGTCCTCTGCATTAGCAAGTATTACTGGCATAGGAATTGCAGTCCTAAAAGTCTCTGCTTCGGGCGTGGCAAGGAAGACATACATGAGTAGATGCCATCAGCATCAATAGGAATTACACACACTACCAGCACAGCACCACCAGTGCCCCTGCATTGGTTGCAGACAAAGTAAAATTGACTCAGTCCTGAGATTTGCTGTAGGCTTCCCAGAGGTTACAAAGCAGTG